GTCTCCCATTGCGGCGTTTTTTCAAAATTGCTCTTAAAAATCGAACAGAATACTCTTAAAATCCTATAAGCTAGATTGCTTCAAATCTTGCGTGTATTCAAAAATATCATTTTTAGAGATTATAATAAGTTTCAATTTATACTGGTTTGTGAACTTTTATAATATAAGCTTCAACTTTCGGACATTTCTGTAAAATATTTTCGGTCAAGCTGAAATAAGGGCATATGGGAAAGCCTATTAACGATTCTTTTTAAATTTTGACTGAATTTATACAAAGTTGCTAAGAGATTAAAAGTAGTAATTAGATTTAATTTGTAAAAGGAAAACGTGCTATTTTACAAACATGTTGTTTACGAAAACTTAAAATAACCTTGTGTATACAATGTAAAATAAAAAATTTTGAACTCAATAGGTTCATCGTTTAAAGAGCAATTCTCCGTAAATTTGCTTTATCATTTAAATTTTTTAAAAGTAATCAGTTTGTTTCAAATCAGCCGTGTGACAGCATAAAGTTGAGGTATACGCAATAAACGCCAATTATCTTTTGTCTAAATGCCTTACATATGCAAAATTCATTTAACTACATTTCATTATCATAATATTGTTTAAATAGTTGATTCATAGAATCATTACTAATATTCGCCATTTTAATTTCTTGCCTATCTTATAATTAATTGCATGAGTTCAAAAGTATGGCTCCTATTGCCTAAAGAAACACCAACGTCATGCTTTTTATATCAGACTTTATTGATTGCTTGACAATATTGCATACGTTTATTATAATAGCAAATACAATGTTCCTTATGACATTGCACAATAATAATAAAAAAATTTTTGTTAAATAATATCTAATTAAAAAATTTTAATGTAAACGAAGTTTATCTCACATTACAACATCTAGCCGAAGTGCATATTGAATGAGATACTTTAAAAGTAAAAATTTTTAAACAATTATGTGACTTTGTTGCTTTGAGGCTATAAGTACTTTGTACAAAAATTCAATTTACATTTTATTTAAAAAAAATAGTAATTAATGTTACGTGATCGAGAAAATTGCCAATTAAATTACGTACGTTTTTAAATTATGAAATTTACAATGAAAATCAAATTGTAAGTGAATTAAGAACAAAGAGTAAAATTCTGTTATAAATATTTGGTATGCAATTTTTTTGCGTTTTTGTTATTAAAATAAAATTTTGCAATATTTACGTTTTAAAGTTAATTTGTAATTTAAATAAAATTTTAATTAGTGGAAGCGTGAAAGTGCATTTGTTTTTTAATATGTAGATAAATACTAATTTCATGGTCATGTGTTATACGAAAATATTATTATTACTATATTAAAATAATTGTTGAAAACCTATTTGGTTTTATAAAATTTCTAATTTTATTTTCAATACGTACTTACATATTTAAAGCACTATAAGCTACTCTGTGTATTTGATTAGATCAGAATAATTTCGAATGAACATGCATTTTTGCGGCGTAATTTTTTAGCTTATGATTGTTTTTAGCATATTTCTGACAAAATTTTAAAAAAAACGTGCTTGACTTTTATGCATCATTTTATTCAAATTCGCAAATCGATTTGAGAAACATATTTCTTTTATCTAAAATTTCATATTATTTCTTATTATTTTACCGAAACGGCATAGCTATCCCGAATGTCAGAAAGGGAAAAGCTATCGGCGAATGTTTGCTATAAAAAATATAATTATTTTTCTTATCTCAAGTAGTTGACCATACTGTATTAGTAGTTTAGTTTTTTGATTTTGTTTTCTCATCCTAAAAGTATGCAATAATTATTTATAAGAATTATAATTAAAGTAGAAGATTATTTTTTACAAAAATGCATTTCAGTTGTTTAGGGGAAATGTACAGCTTCACAAATTATGGGTTTGTTATAATTATTCAATTGTACAGCTGTTTCGAAAGCTTCGGGGTCTAGTGTTATGCCTTATGTACTAAAACATTATGCAATAAATGTTTTTTTTTACAAACAATTTTCGATAAATAATTATTTAAAAACCCAGAATTTCATTTACAGAATATTATTTAATACATAAATTTTAGTATAACAGCGTAGCGGTTAATTAAGCAATAAACTTTAGACAGGTAATAAAAAAAAATTTTTATTTTCTAAATCTTGTGTACTACAACATTATTCATATTGTTATCACGAAAAAAATTAAAAATTGAAACAAAATTAGTGGTCTAACTAGATATAAAAATAATTTTGAAATGAATAAAAATAGCAGGAACGGAAAACAGAAAATAAATATTTCAAAATATAAATAAACATCATTGCTACAAAAACAAAATGTAAAATTTAATAATAATTAATAATTTATTAGGCTGCCTTCTAGCAATTATAGGAATTTACTCGAATTTTACATTATCAAATTTTCCACAAATTTTATATCGCTAATTAGAAAAGCGCAATTGACCAATGACTACCGCGCTTACTTTACTTGCTTTGAAAGCTTTGACAGTGGAAATCATTTACACTATCCCTTGTGAAATTAGACCAAATGCACAGCTGTAAAAACTTTACAACAAAGTTTTTTTTGTGCCTATGAATAATTTTCTAAATTCGGTTTACTTACTTTGCTTAAAAAAGCTCTTAAAGTTAACAAAGCCAAGATTTTGCCAAGAGAGAATTTTTTTCCATTAGTCTCCTGCTTTAAGTTGTTGGCTCGAAATATTAGCAAAATTTAAATTTTTTTAACACGTTTTGTTTCTCCAAAACTGTTGTCTTTTCCCTATTTTTGAATTTAATTCCATTTTGTTTGATTATTTAATTTATTTTTTCTAATTCATCTAAAGAGCTTTTGAATTTCTCCACTTCATTTAATTAATAGCGTGTAATGGGTAACTGATTATTTCTTATCGGAAAATAGAGTTAACTGAAAATTTCTTGTGAGAGTCTATTCACTTATTTGAAAGTTTCTTGATGAATTTCATTCTATTGCAGATTGATATTTTCGACAAGAGTGTGTATATGGCGACACATATTTTGATACTTTCATTGAGTAAAAATCATGCTAGAATTTCCATATCGTAAAATATTACTTTTAAAGTCACATAAGTGATTTGGAAAGTGAAAAACTTCCTTTAAAAAATTATTTTAACATTTTTCTTGTATCGTACTTCTCATAAAGTGAGATAATACATAAACTTAAATGCCGGAAAACGCGTAAATGTAAACGCCAATAAAGTCACATCATAATTTCATTTTGTGTGAAAAGAAAGTCAAATAACTAAAAAAGCGAGTAAGTTCTGCAAAAGTTGTTTAAATTTTTTGCTATAGTAGTGTCTTAAAAATTTTATAAAATTAAAAGATACAAAAAATAATATTTTATATTTGAAAAAAAAAACCAAAACAAAAAAAAGCCGTTCAAAAACACCTTCGCACATTTTATAATATTGTATGTAGCTGAAAGCCGAATAATATGTCATCAGTAATAGCCCCTTTCAATTTGAGGATTTTTTTTTGCTCATTTTTTTATTTAAATTAGTGTTTGTATATATGTATCGTACATAGTTATTATAATATCGCAATACAATTTTACGATACATTTTATGAAAAAAAAATGTTATTTTTGTATATTGTCACGTTGAATTTATATAGGAAATAAGACATCAGCTGATTCCAAATTGATATTATAAACATTTAATATATAAAATATTTTTATGTGTATGCATATTTTAGCATATTGTGGGTTTATTATGTATAGATTTTTACATACTTAGATTTATATTTTTGTGTTTGTTTTTCCTCCTCTCCAATTTATTTTGTATAGATTTACTAGAGAAAAGAAAAAGATAATTTTTTTTTTGTGATAATAATGATGATCTGTCGCCAAACGAAAAAAAAAATTTCATAATTTTTTTTTTTTATTTTATTTTTTTTTTTTTTTGCTTAAGGAAAATATAAAATACATATGTACCTCCAAGCAGTAAACGCGATCCGGAGATTTTTGTATGTGCTTCAGTTAACAAAAAATTACCGCGACAGTTTGTTCGGTATATGAACTCGGTATAACGGGGACTTCTTGCTATTTTGATTAAAAACGAATAATAAGAAATAAAAAAGAAATATATTTTTATAAAAAAGATAAAAGAACAATAATATTTTTATATTAAATTCGTGTTTTAAATTAAAAAGTTCGTGCAGTTCGTTCGCTACTAACAATTCGTTAGAAAATTTATCGTGTGGAAAATATTTTTTTTTTTGTTTCTGAAATTAAAAAATATATGCAGTATAAATTATAAAAATTTTCATTAAATAATATTTCATCACCAAATTAATATTTTTTTCTTTTTTATATTATTATTATTATTGATATACATACATATGTATATGTACTCATTATATATAGGATTAATTTCATAAATAAAGTTGAAAGAGGCTTGACCTTTATTAATAATAAAAATAAGCCCATATTTTTTTTTTTTTTTGGAAAAGAATAAAAAAAATTATATGAGATAGAAAATTAAAATGAAAAATATTGAGTAAAGAACTTAATTGTACTAAAATTAATGTAAAAGTCACGAAATTAAAGTGTTTTCAAATTTAAAAATATTTTATACGCGCAAAGATAAAGAACGCCGAAAATATTATCGTTTGACGTCAAAAAATAACATGTTTTAATTTTATTATCGTAAATTTTACATTGTTATTTCATTTTATGTTGTCAATACTGGAGTGTGTACACTATATTGCATAGTAAAAATTTTTGTGTAATAATTTCTATTCCCTCTTTCTACATTCTTATTTATTTTTTTTTTTACACAAACGCTCTCTTTTTCCCCCTTTAATTTTTGTGTGTTACAAATAGAGCAATTTAATGTATTTTGTCATTAATAAAATGCTATAAAAAAAAGTTTAAAAATTAAAAAAAAAAAAAAATGTTTTGTTTTTAAAAATAAAAAAAAATTAAGGCATTGAATTTAGAGCAAAATAACAAGAAAAAAAGAGCACAGAAAATATTAAAAGTAAAATTTTAAATAAAAATATTTATAAAACCAGAAAAACAAACATACTAAAAAAAATTACTATATTGAAACCATCATGGCATCAACCAGTGGTATTGTGATGAGTACAAGTGAGTAAAGTGAAAGAATTTCTTTTTAAAATACAAAATTTTATTATTGAGCAATTAAAATATAATAATGGAATAGAAAATGAAGCGAAAAATGCTTTTATATGTTCATGGAGACTTCAATATGAAAATATACAAGTACATATTATGTATATGTACGTACGTACGTACGTGTATTGATTTATTGTATGAGTATGAAAAGTATACTTGTTGCTTTGTAAATTTGATGGTTTTCACTTTATTTTCCTTTGCATTCTAAACATGCGAAAATATAGTTCATGAAAATTTTGCATTAGAACATGTGTTTCTTATTAAAACAAAAAAAAAATAAAGAAATAATAAAGTAATAAAAAAAAAATTGTTTTAAAACGCAAATTTAATAAAATTTAATTATAGAACTGTAGTCGTTTGTTTTTTTTTTATTATTTTTTTGTGTGCTTGAGCATTCAAGGATACAATTTAAATATTATTTGTAATTTAATCTCATATTATTAGAATATTATATCAAGTAGACCCCCCATGACAGAGCAACGTACACATAAATATTATTGTGTTTATAATAATACTCAAATTTAAATTTTTCTAAAACAGTATGTTACGAATGACCTAAGCAATATTATCATCATTTATGGGAATAGGATGAGTATATTCTGTTGGGAGTGAAGTAAAAAAAGGAGGGCATGGAACGATTAAAATAAAGTTTGTTAAAATTTAGTTAAATAGACTACAGTTTCCCAACATAAAGATTTACAGAGTTTTACTCACCTCATGAAAGGTTAATTCAAAGAGTTTATATTCAGAGAGATAAAATACAGAGTTTTACTCACGTCATGAAAGATTAAAAAATTTGGCTTATGTTATTTAGATATGAGTTATAAAATAGAGCTTTATGATTTAACAAAATACTTAGTACTTGACAACACACACTTCGAATATTTAGAAGAAATCATTTATCAAATTCTCTGTTTTGTACGTATTTACACTTAGAAAGCATCCTTGGTCACTAGTTCGAGTCTAGTTTCAGATCTAGAATAAAGATATCTTAGTCTAAACATTACCGCTATTTTCTTATAATTTTTAATTTTATATGTTGGGAAATTATGTCCAAACCTTGACATAATATTTTATTTTACATATTTAAAAATTTGTTCAAATAACATTTAATAGTATATGTACCCTTATAGACAGGGAATATAGATAGGGAATTTCCCCACTGATAGGGAATGTACATACATTCAAGAATTTTTAAATATAACGACATACCGTGACTTCTATAATGCACTTACAATGTAAACTTTACAAAGTACCACATTCCAAAAAGTTTAGTAAAAGCTCTTGACATTGTACACTTTTTCTAAATGCGTTGTGTACGTAGTGGATACATAAAATAAAAGTAAATCGGGTATTAAAAAAATCGACCACGCTTTTCTAATACATGTCATATAAATGTTGCCAGATATAACCAATTAAATAAATTAGCATATATTTTCAGCAATAAAGTGCTAGTTATTAAGTTTTTTCCCTAAAATGCAACATAAAAATGCTATGTTTTTCATGATTTGGTAACGTTTGTCCAAAATGTATCAAAAGATTTAACAGTTTTTTTTACAATGTAAAGGTATTGAAAGCTGTAACACGGCACTGCAATCGTATAAATACTGTACTTAAACTTTTTATAAAGCATTATTGAAGTGACGGTATATTTTAAAAGTAACAACACATACACATTATGAAAATCCGACAATAGCTTGAAATCTAATAAATAAATAAACTTTAATAGGATGCCTCAGTCAATAGGAAGTCAAAAATATTTTTAAATAAGTTGACGTGTCATAAAAAAATATTTTATTTTGTATGTATATTTTTATATTCAAAGTTGTTTTATAAGTATACTTATAAATTAATTTTTTGCATAATAATCGCAATTTACAATCGCAATGGTACAAGCGATTATAAATCCATTATTCATGTCCGTAGTTTTTTGATTAGTAAAGATTTTTAATTACGCATGACAGTGTTGGATGATTGACAAAATTTCCTAAAATCTTGATAAATCAAAATGAATGATGTTTCATATGAAAATGCTGCATATTTAAAAAAAATTGGGAAGAAATTATATTTTAGATTGACGAAAAAAATGTACTATAAATAATTTCCTATTGCAAATTTGAAATTTTAAATTTTCAACTTGCGTAGTTTGTTTTTGATGGGAGGAAATAGGAATTTAAATAATTTTTAATGTCAATTTACATCATAAAAATTTAATTCTTAATTCATAATTTAATAAACACCATCGCATCGCATTTGCTGTAAGAATTAATTAATATTTTTTTTATTTCGCAGCGTTTAAAATTTTTTCAAAATTTAATTCGATGTACGAATAAAATCGAAACTTTTATGTATGTGTACGTACATTTGAGTATGTCCGATGAGATTTTGATGCCAGAATTTTTCTTTCCTTTTGGCAAAAATATCCGCAATAGAATTGATTGCCTAATTATGATTTGCAAAACGCTAACAATAAAATGTCGTCGACCTTTTACGAGTATGTATTTTTTTTGTATTAGAAAATAATCACAAATGCGTGGAAATTTGGCACGCGAAATAAACCGTTTTTGAAAATTTATTTTAGGGCCATTAAAAATTCTTTAATATTTTCATATTGTATTTATGATTTTAATAGAAGAGTTAATTAGGTCAAAAATTTGGTTTTTGTAATTTAATTATTCATGAGAGCCGTGCAATTATCATGTTCATTTGTTTAACAAATCTGAAATCTTTGCACTTTTTTTTTTGATTTAAAAAATATGAAAAATTTGTTTTAAGAAGAACCTTTTACATAAAAGGCTCGAATTATATATAAGTACTATTTTATAAACAAATAAATTTGAGACGCTGTATGATTGTGGAAGCAGTAAGAAAGTAATTTTCTGTATTGCTTATTATGGAGCTTAATAAGTTAATACTTTCCGATACTGTTGCGTTTAACAATAAGCATACGCATATAACAGTAGGTTAGAGTAGTAATTAATGAAAAATAAAGTTTAATTACTATTTGATTTTCCAGCTTTCTGCTTTGCGTAGAGAATATAACAAGTTACAAGTATATAACTCTGCAAGTTAATTTATCATCAATTTCCATACACATAGAACATCACAAAACATGAAAAGTGAAAATGCCACTCCATCGCGTTGTTACAATCCATCAAAATTCGTGCATCAAATAAATAAATACAAGAACAGTGAAATCTTTATAAAACAAACACTTAATTTTATAAACATTTTTATTCAGCGAACGTTGACTGTAGCATACCTTTTATGAATTTTTTTCTATTCCTTTTTCTAAAAATTTCTCTAAGATACTTTATATTAGGAGATTTTTGTACTTAGGCTTACTGTATATTGGGTATGTAGCCCTGTATAATACTTGTATTCTTTCTCCAATATCAATAATCGCAACCAAAAAAAAATTCTTTTTATTCAATTCTAGATTATTCAATAACTTATTATGTTTATGTTGAGATTGTTAATCAATTAAATTTATTTTTTTCGCAAAGTGTCTGAGTCGTTATTTACACCTTTTTTTTATAATCATAAATAACCATAAAATAAAAGGCTAAATATTATTAGTAATCTTTTACGAGTATAAATATTATTAAAAAACAGAAGCAGAAATCAATGAAAAATACACCATAATAAATTTATATTCTAAAAATAGGCCACAAATAGGTTATTTTTACTCGCAGATAGAAATAGCCTTCGTATATCATAATAATCTATTAAATTTTATAATAAAAAACGTATAAATTATGAAAGCGCACATCATATTTTTTTTTGTTGCCGAAAAATAAATTTTATTATAATTTTCCTCCCTCTCTTTTTATTTGAACTTCAATAATTTCAATAAAATTTCAATAAAATCAATTTTATAATCGATCTATTAATAAAATATTTATTTAATTTCGCTTGAAATTTATTTGAACTTCAAATAATTTTTCGTATTTGTTTTTTAGTTTACTCAAATGAAAAAATAAATTTAATTTTATTTTTTTTTTTGGGACCTGAATTATGCGAAATGTTTAAAGTATTAAAAAAATTGTTTGAATAAGCATTTTCCTTTCGGCATTTTGCTCTTTAAAAAAAAATTTTATTAGTTAACTATACACACCCATTATGTGGCAATAATAAATATCAATTTAATGCCATAATGTAGGCACTATAAAAAGCAAATCAATTTATTACCATTTTTCTTGTTTTATATTAATCTAATTTATATTTTTCAATATTATTTTCAAAAATTATTATAACATTAAAAAAAATTTATAGATTTGTTTGCAATTTGTTGTTTGGATCTTTTTCTTCTAAAATATCGTTTTCCATTAATCAATATTTTACTGTATTTTAACCAAACAGACACATATATGTATACTCGTAAGATAGTACTTGATATGAAGGAGGAAAATATAAGCAATGATACATCGAAATTTCGTTTAATAGAATTATAAATTGAGTACATATTTGGTTTGCTAAAAATTTTGAAAATTACTAACCTGATAAATAAAGATTTGGAACTCAATGTTACATAAATTTTAAGGAATATTGTAGATAAAATAAAGGTGTTTCTAAACTAAAAACGAGAAAAAATAGAGTTGACAGTGTCAGCTCTATGATACCTGTACGAATTTGTTATCCTATGTATGCCATAGCTGACTATGAAACAGACTATGACTTTAAGTTGCCGTATTACCACATTAATTTAAGCAAAATTTCAGTACTGTGCTTTCAATATTTTCTAAGATTTGGCCAGTTGTATGGCAGCTACCAGAAAGAACCAAGTAATTTCAACGAATTTTATTTAATACTAAGGCATTACCAATAAATTCGCTTGTGTGAAAATTCAATAGCACAGCTTCTAAAGTTTCTGAGATATAGCTAAATAACTTTAAATAAGTTGTATGGCTGCTACCAGAAAGAGCCATGAAATTTCAAGGAGTTTTATCAAA